ACTGCAACATGATGACTCTGTGTCTTTTGGGAAAACACCTCGAAGGGGAACACCTCGGTAAATGGGATTTGTATTTTCAGCTTTTTGAGGAATCACCATGATGGTTTCCATAGTGGCTATGCAAGCTTACTTTTTCACCAGTACTGTAAAAAGTTCCTCTTTGCCTGCAGCCTCAACAACATTTATTATTTGATTTCTTCATGACAGCCATTCTTCTATGATGATAAGTGAAATAAATCAGAAACAGAGAGGTAAATATCTCATATCAAAGCCATAGCCTGCCTGAGCCTTGTGCTTTGTCTCTCTAAGTTCAGATTTACTGGAATACCACCACAGTCCCATCCATGTAAGTATTGTGCATAGCTGTGGCCACACTGCCACCGCCAGAGTTTAAGAGTAGAGACAAAGATGATACGGACCGCAAAGCCTAAACTATTTATTTTCTGACTCTTCACAGGAAAATGTTGATTCCTGCCTTTGAGAGGCCTTTCTTTAGGTAGGATTAGTGATTGCTTAGGCAGCTTCGTCCTTGTCCCAAGCACTGTTTGTGGGTGGCACACCCTACAGCGATAGCTGCATCACTTTAGAGCTCTTTCTGAAACACCTTTTCCCCTGGCTCTGCCAAGGCCTGTGAGTGGTTAATGCTGTTGATTGTGCTGTAATGTGTCACCAGTCCTTTCTTTAATCCTTGCACACTTTTAGCACCTTCGTGCCTCCTAATTTATTCAGTTGGATTGTACCACCTATATCTCCCTAATTTCCTATCCGACCTACTATGCGCATGGTGTTGTACTGAAGCAAGAGCAAAAGAAACGAGATGATAGTAGGGGAGGGATGCAGAGAAGATAAATAACTATCCTATACCAATGACTGTGATAAGTACAGTAAAAAAGTTACATGAAAGAGAAGTGAACATCACATTCAGAGAAGTTTTTATTGGTGATGGAGCCTTTGAGCTATTTGCAGAGAGGATGGCATTTTTGTGAATTAGAATCACAGACGTGTACATGCACAATGAAACATTTGGGGAGAAATAACTTATAATTCCCATGGGTTTTGGCACTGTGGTGAACACTATTGCCACCACAACATTTTGTCCTCGTAAGGGCTTCATGAAGTAGCTCCTATCATTATCCTGTTAATGTTCAAGAGAACCAAGGCTTTCTTAGAAAACTGAATTGTCTGAGATTTACAACTTGGGGGGAGAAATTAGGATTCCTATATAGACTATTAAGCCACAGGAAGAGGGCACAGTGTAGACTGTCTCAGTGTTCAAGCTTCATTTTGCTGCAAAAATGAAGCCAAGGCAGTGGATTTCAGCCATCTTTCTTTCTTTCTTTTTTTTTTTTTTTTTGTGGAACCAGGGATTGAACTCAGGCCCTTGCGCTTGCCAGGGAAGCGCTTCCTCCACTAAGCCATCTTCCCGGCCTCTCAGCCATGTTTTGAAGCAACTAACTGCATGAAGGATGTTGGGGCTGTTTTTTCTGTAGACCCTGAGACTTTTTACTGAGGAAAATTAGAGATTAAAGTTACATGTTTGTATTAATACTTGATGGAAAATACCTGTTGTGTGTTAAGATGTTTGATAGACAGATAGTGAGGTTAAGTTCAACTGCCTATATCGCAAGGTAATAATGATAAACTTCTCTTCTGGAGAGTTAACAACTTAAGTTTGAAGACCAAAAATTAGAGAAAAAGAAGGGCTTCAAGGACAGCCAACATTTTGGCCCTAGCCTTTCAAGATCAGTGAGGACTCAGGACATAAGACAACCTGTACTGTAATATCATGTAACTCAGTGGTGTCCCAAATTTTCTGATCAAGGAGATTATGGAGCCACAGAAGAAAGTAACTAATGATGTAGAGTGTGCCTAAGGAGAGTCACCTGGAGAGAAAATATCCTCTCGGGCTTTTGCAGAGAACAAATTGGTCAAGCAATGGCCGTGCCCCATCTACATGGCTGACACTGACAAAGGATCTACAAATAGTGCTACTGGGCTTCAGGAGAAATCCTGAGGGGATTTGACTGAGCTTGTCATAAACAAAAGTTACATTTCTTATTATATAGGTCTTGCTTTATCTTGGTCTTAACCATCCAGCAGAAAAGTATGAAAAAAAGTATAAAAAGCAAAGCCATATTAATAGACTGAGCTGTAAAAGGCTCAAGTCAACAACTTCTAACATTGCCAGTCCTATGGATAACCCACTACTATCATGGACTACTGGGCTATATTGGAATATTTTGCTGAATTCACACACCTACTATATTTAAATGATAATGTAATATCCATCTCTGACAGAAATAAACAAAAAAAGGGATACAAATGAAGGACCATCTTGTATCTGTATATTCAAAATAGGATATACAGCTACATTCTCTTAATTCAGTGAATAGAAACATTTATTCTAATAGTGTTTGGACAGGATGTCATGTCTGCATCTTATACTATGAATAACCACTATGATGACAACAATATGCAATGTATTAATTATTGAAACTGTTCTACCAATCAGTTTTGAAACTATCTCATTGCTACTTCTTTCTCAATAAATTATTATTTTTTCTTTTTTTCCCATAATTTTATTGATAAACAAATAGCAATGAGACAGTTTCAAATCAAATTGGTAGGACAGTTTCAATAATTAACACATTGCATACATTCTTCCTAGTGGTTAATTGCTGTACAAGATGCGGACATGATATCCTATTTACAAACACCATTCAAACAATTCCCTCTATTCATTAAGAGAATATAACTATATATCTATCCTAACCACTTTGAATACACAGATACAAAATGGACATTCATCTGTATCTTCTTTTTTGGTTAAGTTCCATTATTTGAACATTATAGGTGTTCAATAAAATTCTTTTAAAAAAATAAAGTTACATATTTGAAGAAATGTGGCCCAGGATGCTAGGTGGTACCTAAGAGGGGTTTGAAGTAGGGTGACAGTGGTGAGTTTTTAAAGGATAGCTTCACAATTGGTAAGGTTGTCAGATAGATGAAGCAATGAGGCAAATGGGGTTTCAATGTGGTGAAGGAGGAGGACGGTGATGATATTAATAACTGAGCTGGGAAACACTGGACGAAGGGAAGGCTTTATTGATTTATTTATTGATTTTGGCATTCCCAAGCAGTTATTTGGACAGATGCTGAGTGAGGAGACCCTACACCTAGGAAGAAAGTATTGGACCTCACTGTGCTTGCAAAGCACAACAATGGGGCGGGTGGGAACTTGGAGTTGCTCACTGCTAGCCGCGGGAACTTGCTCTCCACCTTTCAAAACTGGTTCCAGTGGGCCTGGGCAGGGTGCCAACCACTCACACCTGCGCATAGCCTTGTCTTATGCCATGATCAGGTCCTGGCATTCTCCATGGGTGTTATGGTTGCTACCCTTGGAGTCTTTGTACAGCCAGATGCCAATGGTTTTCATCCAAAGGGGAACGTCTTTCTTTCTTTCTTTCTTTCTTTCTTTCTTTCTTTCTTTCTTTCTTTCTTTCTTTCTCACATGAAGCCAGGGATTGAACTCAGGCCCTTGTGCTTGCCAGGCAAGTGCTTATTCAACTCTACTATCTCCCCAGCCCCTAGACGGGAATTTCTTAAACACCTGCCCATGGCAGACAATTGTGCCTTGTGGCTTCCTTATCTTCTTTGGTTGAGATAGAAAGCACCAAAAGCAGGAGTTGGTGATCATTCTTGGTAATGGCTTCCTTAGCTGTAGTGACTTGGCAGAAGGTCTGGGGGATGGAAGTCATCTGCAGATTGCAAGCCAGGACACCTCGCCTTGTGCCGCCACAGTATAGAAGAGACCTGATGGCCATCCACAAAAAGCAGGGAGCCTTTTGAAAATGACGAAGAATTTGATAGCTGTGTGAAGCAAATGATACGGAGAAAGCTTCTGACTGGAGACAGCAGCGGAGTTTCAAGAGTGGCTTAGACTCTGAAATGGTTATTCTAAAAATTTTAACAAAAAACAAGAATTTCAAAATAAGGTGATAGAAAATTAACAATAGTTGTTATATTACACATAGTTATCTTCAAAGTAGTTGCTCAGGTCAACAGTCACAGGCAGACAAGAGCGAGGAAACATTTAAGCATTAACAGTTCCTTTCAACAAACCAACAGAGATCAGTAGTACAATTACACTTGCTTATTTTCTCTTTTCCCCCCAACCCA